TGTGATCGCTCCAGAGCCCACTTCAATTTCTAAAGTTTTCCTTAAACACCAAAACAGAAGTCAGTACAGGGCAGAGTTCCCTAATGGCAGGAAGTCTTTGAAGGTTCCTGCCTACAGCGTACAAGAGCTTTACTTAACAATTTTTCCCACTGAATTGTCATATAATCCTCACACAGGGAGTTTCATCTATTACATAGAGAGATGCTAAAAAGAGTACTAAAACTTATTGTTCCATATCCAAGTATAATGGCTTGAACAGCATCCCTACAAAATTCACATCTCCCTGGAATCACAGAATGTGACCTTATTTAGAGAGTCTTTGCAGATATAATTAGATAAAAAGAGGACATACTGGATTAGGATGGCCCAACTGCCGGGGCTGATGTCCTCAAAGAAGTGAAAATATAGACTTGTTCTTTGAAGTACCAGTTGGTGGTACCTTGTTACAGCAGTCTTCAAAAATCCATTAAGACAAACATCACTGTTTTTTGCACTATCTGGAAAACTGGCAGTGTTTCCAAATGGGCCACTATCTGTCACAAGTTCTGTTTCAGAAGGGGTAGTATCCCAAGAAGAGATGCAAGTAAAAGACATTTTATTTCACACCATCCTTTTCCTCAAAGGTTTAATAATTCAAAATCCAAGCCTAATTCCAGAAATAAAATAAAAATGTGAGAAAAAGTGAACATATGATAAAGAAAATGTAGAATATTCAGTCATTTAAAAAATTATTTGAAGAATATATATATCATGAAAGTGTGCAATATAAATGTTAAGTGAAAAAGTAAAATGTTAATTTATGCAATGTTTTCAATCATATTTTAAGTGCATTTATAAAAATTAGATACTTGGAAAAAACCAACAGTAAACACTTCATAGGAGGTTAAGTGTAAAAGCAGCATATATTTTGCTCTCTTATATAATATATATAATATACACATATTCACATATTTACTTTCTAGACTTATGGTGAATTGGTTACTTCTATAGCCAAAAAAAAAGCTTTTTATAAAAAGGCATATATGTAGATAAGAGAGCTAGTGGACAGAAAGAAAAGAGTTATCTTAAAATAAATTTTAACAATTCCTAATTATCCAAGAAGCACAGGACACATTGCAAGCTATTAAAATGAATTATTTTAACATGTCTTAGATAGGAATTAGATATCAAATAATTTTCTGAGTCACAGAGAATTTCCTCTAATTATGCCAATAGATCAGATTAAGAAATCAGTCACAGAGTTTTGCTTTCTCTCTACTAATATTTCTACTACAATGATACTTTTTGATTATTTAGGTTGCACTTCTTGTTTTCCATAGTGAAGAGGAAAGAAAATAGCAAAATGTTCTGATCCCCTCAAATTTGGATTATTATTTCAAACAATATTATTGGATTATTATCTCTTTTTTATTCTGTTTTGGGGGAGTTTGTTTTTTCATTATGATCCTTATGATCCTTATTTTTATTGTTATCCAAATAGCAACTGCATTGACAGAAAAAGACACATCTTAAAACAAAGAAAAGAAAAAGTCTCTAAAGTACAAAATAAATTAATAGAAGCAAATTGCATGACCCTGGGAAGTCTTAGGATCCAAACCTAAGAGTTTGGATCAGTGACTCATCTTACAACAATTGCACTTAGAAGAACTGTACAAAGAACAACTACACTTCTGACAAGAATGACAAATGAAACTGGGTTTGGAGTAGACCATTTTAAAACTTGTCCATATTAAGAACAAAAGCATTTTTTATAAATAGGATTATAAAAAAAATAAATTCAAAATCCAACTAATGTCATTGTAAACCTGTAATAGTTACCATTATTAAGATAATATACAAGGATTAAAGAATGGTAAATTTAACAATTCAGGTGAGGGGACCATCTTTCTAAACATTTCTGATCAAGTTTATTTAATTAATACAATAATCTCTAATTGCCTATGTCTATAATTTAACATTATTTAGACCACTACATTTTATACAAGTATATATTTACATTCATTTTCTCCCCACATACACAGAGTAATCCTCCTCATTTTCAATACTGAGTATATTATTTCTGTGCCTAACTATATTTGAGTTTTCAAGATAGTAGTTGAGATTAGACATTTGAAAATAAATACTTAAAATGTTTATTTTTACAGGAAAGAATTTACAGGAAAGAATAAAATATTTTCCAATATAACTGTGACCACCTTTTCACACTTAAGAAAATTAAGAGTAATTCTGTAACATCCATCCCACAACTGCCCCCCAAATGCTTGAATGCCTGATGTAACCTGCTTGTTATTGGGTTTTTTGCGGGGAGGGAGGTAAGGTGGGGGACCAATCAAGTTTCACAAGACAGTTATGTATTTTATATCTTTTTAAATAACATTATGTGCTTTCTTTTTTGGTGTCTGCAACAATGATGAAGAAAAGTAGCTCTCATCCAGTGAATACCCTTTTTTTGTGGAAAAAAAAAAAGTAGTGTGGGTAAATGGCACTTCTTTAAAAAGAAAAGTCACACTGGGAAATTAAATGAGACAAATCCAGATATAGTATAGTGTAACAAAAAATGCTTTAACAGAATTTTCTTGAAAACTTACATTTAGAGACTTTCATTATTATTTCATGTTTTTGCTTGAAAAAACAATACAATAAGAATACAGTAAGTACCCAAAATCTTTAAATTAAGGAAAGAAAAAAATGAGATAAATAAACTAGAGTCTCAATGTACTAGATCTGACTATATGGTAATAAAAGTACCAGTCCACTTCTGAAATAGCTAATTCACTGTGTGTTCATAATAAAATTTTTCTTAACAACTAAGTAATACAGAAACTCTTCTGATTGAACATCTATGAAATAATTATAATAGTACCATTGTCTTACTGCAAATTTCCATTTAATGGGCATTTTATTCAAAAGTCCTGGTGAAAATTCAGTTACAAATATTCAAAAGCCATGTGAATAAAAAATATATACTACTGTGAAATAACTGAATTTTACAAATAGCAAATTTTACAAATCTATTTTAGATTATAAAATAGAAAACACTCTTGGGCCTCTCTGGTGGCGTAAGGGGTTAAGTAAGTCTCAGCATTATCAACTTACAGGCAGCCACTGCCCCCTTGGCTAGGGAGCTGACCCACATGGCACAGCAGACCTCTCCTCTCTCACCAGATGCTCCCCTCAGCAGCGTATTTCAGTAGACCTGCCTGTTATGTATGCTTCCCACTCTGTCTCTGGTGAATCTCTTGCTACCACCACCCAAACCTGTGGCCTGCACCCCAGTTCTTCTACCCAAAAATAAATAAACAAATAAATTTTTAAAAAGTAAAAACACTTTCAAATAAAAACTTATTTTTTAAAAAAGAATAATTGAGAGGCAATAACCCAGACAATTATACAGAATAAATTTTCAAATCTATGAGTTAAGACTACAAGTCAGGGCATTGAGTAAATGGAGTTCCTTTTGCTCTTTATTTTTTGTGTATGCTTGAAAAACTTTAACAAAAAAATAAGTTTTCAAAACTAGTACTTCACAAAGTTGTTGGCTTGTTTCACTATAGCCAGCAAAGACTAGCACTATGAGTATACTTCTAGGAGGTACATAGAATAGTCAAATTTATAGAAGCAAGAAGTTGAATGATGGTTGTGTGGGGCTGGGTGGGGAGGAGGAATTGAGAGTTAATATTTAATGTGCACAAAGTTTCAGCTGGTAAAAATGAAAAACTTCTTTTTTTTTTTTTAAATAGAGGCATGTTTTATTTATTTATTTGTTTGTTTGTTTTGTTTGTACATGAACTGGGTACAGTCAGAAGCGCGGGAGGGTGAGAGAACTCACCAGAGCCAGAGCGGGGAGCAGAGCAGGCAGAAGGACCGAAGTACACTGCTGAGGGGAGCAGCGGGCGGCAGGAGAGGTCTGCGCGCCATGTGGGACCCTCCTCCGGTGACCGGGGAGCAGCCGGGGATCGAACCGGCGCCGCAGAGGCCGCGGGCAGCTTCGCAACCCAACGCTCAACCGCTGCGCCACCGGGGAGGCCCAAAATGAAAAACTTCTAATAAATGTTTGGCAATATTTTAGAGCAACATGAATTTATTTAGTCACAAGAACTGTAGACTTAAGATGGTAAAATGTTATATTTTATGTTATGTGTATTTTGCCACAATAAAAAAGCTCTCATTTTTTTATAAACCTTATTTTTCATATTTCAGTCATTTCATTGTCAAAAAATTCCATAGGGGGTAAAAATATGAAATCTTAAATTAGAATAGGTCAATCAGAAAAATTAATGGATCAACAACTATTTATTGAATGCTTCTAGATTGATGGGTTTCTAATTATTAATCTGCATGTGGAAACACGTTTGCAAAGATATAAAATTACAATATGAATAATTGTATATTCCCCAATGTTACAAGTTGCTAAGACCAACTGCTTCTCAGTTATTTGAAATAAGGCAAGATCAAAATTTATTTCCAAATAGAAAGAAAGTATATTTTTCATTGTTTAAGGCTGAAAAACAACTAATAGAAGTATCACATTTGGATTAATTACAATGGATAATAACTGATGCTCTGGAAAGTAATATTTTCATAAAGTGTGAGGTGACCAAGAGCAGTGTATAATACCAGGAAACATTTAACCATAACAATTTTTTTTTTAAGATTTATTTATTTATTTATAGAAGCACTGGGTACAGTCAGAAGCGCGGGAGGGTGAGAGAATTCACCAGAGCCAGAGCGGGGAGCAGAGCAGGCAGAAGGACCCAAGTACACTGCTGAGGCAGGAGAGGTCTGCGCGCCATGTGGGACCCTCCTCCGGGGCCGGGGAGTAGCCAGGGATCGAACCATTACTGCAGAGGCTGCTGGTAGCTTCGCAACCCAACGCTCAACCGCTGCGCCACCCGGGAGGCCCCTAACCATAGCAATTTTTAATGGCTGTCCATATTGTTCTAATAGTAATAGCATAACAAAATTATTTTCCATTTATAATGGAAGTTAACTCTACTTACTCTTGGTGGAAATATCTGTATAATATTTCCAGCTATGTCTAGGAGTCTTAGATTTCTAAGATGACAAATTTCCTGTGACAGAAAACAAAAGAGAGACTTTTTTTAATAGAATCCTATTTTAACATTTTTTACCAGAATCCTAAATATTTCTTTTTTAGTTCAGACTTGAAAATCTTTCCTAATTACCTGAGCTATTCTTTAGTACACCCTCCTGAAGGAGATTACTGTGCCCTAGATTGCCAGATTCTGAGTTCTAAATTTCCTCTGACCTCTCTGACAATGTGGCCACCAAGATTTAGACTACTTTTAGGTTCACAGCTTACCTCTGACACTTATAATGTAAGCATAAGTAATTTTTTTTTAATTTCTTGGTATCATGTTTTCATTTATAAAATGGAAATGCTAATGAAGCTCCTCCTTCAATGTGGTTGTTGAATATATTAAATGAACTATTAATCAGAAAGTGCATACTAAGGGGCTTACTTAATACATGACCATAAGTAAAATAGAACCTTTAAAAAAACAGAAACAGATGTATTCCTGGAAAGTTGTCTCTATGGACAATTTCACCAGCAATTTTTTTTGGCATCTACCTTTTGTTTAACACTATGCTAACATAACTCTTTCCTTAGAAAGGAAATAAAACCTGTCACTTTTCATCTCTATGACCAATGTAACATTACATTACCATAGTAACCACGTGGTTATTATACTGTATCTTGGTTCTGATATTTCTCCTAGCTAGCAAAGACTGTAAGATTTTTTTTAATAAGAAACATAAAAAACATTTAAAAATTGAAAACTGAAGGTATGACCTGATGAATGGTTCCCACCACTTGCAGAGATATATTTGAAATGACACTCTTATTTTGAGGATCAAACCTCTCCTCAGGGAGATATGACTCTTCAGTCATGACAACTGTCTTTCTTCCTGATCTTCTCACATAAAATCCCAGGTTGGTAGGTGATGAGATGGAGTTTGGTGTAATAGATGTTTACTAGGAATCCATGCTCGAAAAGTAGTTTTGTTCAACAAAGTAGGGTGCTCCAGAGTGGGCACCATCATTCCAAGATGTTCTCCATCCTTGACTGGTCACAGGATATGGAATGCTCTTAGAGTGACCTTGAGCAAGAAAGGAGGTTCTCTGTAACTGAGGCACACTCCCATCAAGTTAACAGAGGCTGTCTGCAGTCCTCACCCCTACAGCTGGGCAGCAAGACCTTGAATGGGGATCTGCCATGTCATATATATGATCCTCTTGAGTCTTTTATTACCATGATACTCTCCTGATTGCTCTGTTAGATACAGGAAAATTAATCAAAAAATGCTGGCATTGAGTATGGCTGGTTGTAAGTAATCAATAATGTCATCATCTCTTTCTCTTGTGATTGCATCAAGTCAAACTCTCCTAAAGAAGGGAAACATGAACTCCAGCAGTTCTGAGTTTAAGTTCTTCCAATTTCACAACCTTAGCACAAAGAACATGTTTACATCCCAAAGTCCATCTGTCGGACCTGTGAATTCCTATCCTTGAACAAACAACGATGCAGTTAAACAATTGGTAAAAGACATAGACATATTTCCAAAGATACGCTGAAGTGTTGAACATCACTAATCATTATAGAAATGCAAATCAAAACCATAGTGAGCTATTACTATCAGGAGGACTATTAACAAAAAGGTAAGAAATAACAAGTATGAGTGAGGGGTAAAGAAAAGGAAATTCTTGCACACTGACGGTGGGAAGGTAAATTGGCTGCTATGGTAAGAAAATACAGATTCCTCATAAAATCAAAAATAGAAGTACCATCTGATCCTACAAAGAAATCTCAAAAAGATATTTGCACAGTCATGTTTACTGCAGCATTATTCACAATAGGCAATATATGGAAACAACCTAAGCATCTACCAATGGATGAATGAATAAAGAAATTGGGTTACCGCGGAACCTAATTCAGTCTTTAAATAGAAAAAATCCTGCTATTTGAGACAACACAGATGAAACTGGGAGACTGTATCATAAGTGAAATAAGTCAGTCACAGAAGGACAAATATCACCTTCATATGAAGCATATGAAGTTGCCAAATATATGGAAGTAAACAACGGAGTGGTGGTAACTATGGATGAAGAGAGATTAGTGTGTTCCAGAAATCTGCTGTTCAAATATAGTGTCATATATATCAAGGCTTTGTACTTAAAAATGATTTAAAGAATAAGTCTCACATTAAACATTCTTATTTTTTAAAAAAAGACACAAGGAAATATTTGGAGATGATATGTTAATTACCTTGACAATGGAAATGGTGATATGAATGTATGTATATGTCTAAACTCTCAAACTGCATACATCAATTATGTATAGCTTTTGTATACCAATTATATCTGTAGTGGCAGGAAGGCCACAGAGCAGGTTTTCTAAGATTGAAGCAGAGCTGGGTAAAAGAGGAGTCCTGGAGCCCTCGATGGATTTCTCAGGCTTTTATTGAGCTTTACATGTAGTGTGGTACACAGGTACACAGCAGGCAGGGGTGCTGGGGGGCCAGGAGGCCAGTAGGCCTCTAAGTCCCCGGCAAGTCTTCACTCTGGGCTACTCTGGCTTCTTTCTCCCCTTCTCTCGCCAGCCTCTCTCCTGCTTCTGCTCCTCTTGGTGACTACCTTAATACTTCTCCCATGGCCCACGAAAGTAAATAAGATAGCTTACAACAATGTAACAACTGCAGGTGACCCATTAGGCAGGGCAATCCTAATAGTGGAAGGGCAGAAAAGCCTGAAAAACCATTTACCGTACAATATCTCAATGAAATTGGGAACAGGGAACAAAGTTCTTTAAAAAAATACATTTTATAAGTGTCAGGTCCATTCTTTCCCCAGTGGATTATTTGCCTATAGCCAAGATCACTTTAGAGATGCAAAATTAAGTATCTGATCTACTAGGAATGAGACATAAAGTATACATATATATACTTGTACAGAATACATATAATTTATAGCATGCCAGAAAAGGATTAATAATGCAATTATTATTTTTTAAAATGAGTATTTTCTATACTGCCTCATCATTTATAAAGCAGACCAAAAAGATCAATGATAGCCTATTATTATCATTTTTTTAGGATTAAAGCTTAAAGATCTTTTAACCTTTTATTAATACTAGATAGAGAGACTGAATCATATTAAATGTATAAGGACATACATTATCAACATTCTTTACATGAAAATGCATATTAAGACTTATTAGCATTTAAATTTTAAGAAATCTATCTTCTTAGGATTTATAAAATTGTAGTGACAGTATTGATTTGAGGTAAGGAAATTTAAGTCAGACAGATAAGGATTTGAGACCCTTCTCTTACCTTTGCAAATTGTGTACAAGTTATATAACTTCTCTGTTCCTTATTTTAAAATGGGAATAAGAAGTTACATCATAGAGTAGTTATAACAATAATAGAATGCATTACAACAATAATCTTGTTATTGTTGTTTAAATAGATTTAGTCTGTAATCAAGATATTTTCTTATTTATAAAATTCAGGATTTTAAGTAATTTAAAAATAATTTTTAATTTATTTGTTTATTGTTAATTGAGGTAATATTTGGGAGTTGCCACTAAAATACAGGGGATTCATTTAAATTTAGATAATAAATTTAGTAAATTTAGTAGAATGCAGTATTTGGGATATACTTCTACTAAAAAATAATTCATTGCATATCTGATATTCAAATCTAAGCTATGTACCTACAGTTTCATTTATTAACTCTAGTAGCCCTAGCTTTGTGGAATAATCCTCTGTCATTGGGATTTGAGAACTAAATGCATCTAATCTGAGGAAACACAAGTGATGGCTTGCACTTGGATGCCTACATTTATACTATAATCACTCCATATTATAATCATCTCTTCCCTGAAAATGAAAATTTGACTCCATGTTGTGCTTACCTGTGGTAAAACTTCAATATTGTTCCTGGCCAGATGAAGCTTCTCAAGCTTCTTCAAAAAATTAATCTCTTTGGGTAGGTAAACAATCTGATTGTAGTTAAGTTGAAGTTCAGAAAGATTCTTAAGGAAACAAAGTTCTCTAGGAATGCTGGCTAGCTGGTTATGATTTATACTCAAATGTGTAAGTCTTTTTAACCTAAAAAATAAAGTATATAAATGAAACTCCCAAGATTAAGAATGTCCGTTATACAGATACCACTTATAAAGAAACCATGTGTCAATTTATATTTTTTGTAGCTTTTCTGAGTCTTTTTTTAATTGATTTTCAATATAGGTACTATATTGAAATACCCATCAGGTATTACCAATGTAGCACACCCACCACCATATCAACCATAGTCCATCACCATAGACCATTGTGCTCCTTTCCTCTTTGTATTTACCCCTCTGGCCCCATGCTTCAGTTCTGTAGTCAGCTTTCAAAAGTTAGTTTTTAAGCTTGTCTTTATCTGATCCTTATTTTGGTTTATCTATATTCCACATACTAGTGACATATCCAGTATTTCTCTTTCTCCTTCTGACTTATTTCACTTATCATTATCTCCTCCAGCTCCATCCATGTTGCTGCAAATGACATGAGATGATCTTTTCTAATCACTCTTTTGAACATTCATCTGTTTGGGGGCACTTAGGTTATTTTCATACTTTAGCTATAGCAAATAGCACTGCAGTAAATATGGGAGTGCAAGTTTCCTATGGTATTAGTATTTTTGAATTTGGGGGGCAAATGCCTAGGAATACAATTGGTGAGTCATATGGCAGATCCATATTTAATGTTGTCAGACACCTCCATACTGCTTTTCTTATGGTCTGGACCAGTCAGCATTCCCACCAACAGTGTAGAAGAGTTCTCTTTTCTCCACATCCTTGCCATCAGTTGTATCTGGTCTTTTCCTATGAGCCACTCCCAATGGTGTGAGGTGATTTCTCATCATGATCTTGATTTGCATATCCCTAATGATAAGTGATGGTGAACATCTGAGTCCTATGTTAGTCAAGTGTTCATAACTGCTGTTCGTTTAAGCATAAAAAATGTTTGTTTTAATTAACTTATGAAGATGCTTTATAATCAAATGACTTATGTTCAAAGTATTTTATGTAACCAAAACCCAAATTCAAGGAAAAGAACTCTATTTTAATTCCTTGTCTGGATACATTGGCCATATTGAAGAAGTCAAAGGACGAAGGAAATCATATGCATACACAAACATACTATATATGGATGTAGGTAGATCTAGGTATAGACACAGATATACAAATATCGAGCCTGTACCAGATAGGAGAACAACCTAGTTGCTGTGGAAAAAGCAAAAATTGATCAGTCACAAATACTGCCCCCCTTGTGCAGAGCATAATCTAGAAGGAGATAGGAAATAGAGACATAAAATGAGAGAAAATGCCATCATATAGAGAGAAAGGGATTAAGGAAATTTGAATCTATAATTCAAATCTGAAATTTGAATGAAAAAGGCTTTATATAGTACCTGAAGTATATCACAAGCCTTTTGGAAGACTTGAAATTTTCATTTTGGCTCTAAATGATAGAACTTACAAAATAAGGGCAACAGAAGGGCCTGTTATAATAAGCTGAGGCTGATTTAATATTTTAAATAAAAAGCAAAAAGAAATTAACACTACCAAGCACTATTTATGTACCTGTACATTAATTTTAACAATCAATTCATGCCTAAAATAATCAGAAACAGATTATAACTTATCTAAATTATCCACACAGAAGGTAAAGATGCCTTTCAAAAAGATCTATAAATGGTGAATAAGAACATGAAAAAATGCTCAATGTCAATAAGACATCAGGGAAAGGCAAACTAAAACTACAGTGAAATGTGACTTCAGACCCACTAGAATGGTTAAAATTTTTTAAACTGCTGGAATGTAAAATGTACAACTACTTTGCGAAACTATTAGCAGTTCCTTATAAATTATACAGCTACACTCTTACTCTATGACTCAACAACTGACTCCTAGGAATTGAAATGAAAAATAAATTAAGCATGTGTCCACAAAAAGGCTTGTACAAGAATATTCATAATAGCTTAATTTATTATGGTCCCAAATGGGAAACAATAACATAAACCAGAGAAAATAACTTATGTCATATTCACACGATGAAATGTTATTGGGGATAAACAAGACAATAAACTATTGACAAATGCAACAATAAGGCAAATCTCAAAATATATGGTGAGCAAAATAAGGTACACACAAAATGGCACATAATGTATAATTTAGTCAGTTCTAGAACAAGTAAAACTAGTTTGTAAAGAAAAGTGTCAGGTTTTGCCTCTGAGGGGTAAGAATTGTGTTTGCCTCTGAGGGGTAAGAATTGACTCTAAGGATATTAGAGAAACTGGATTGAAAGATGTGTCAAATACCTCATTGTGTTAAAAACCTTATTGTTGTGTGTGTACAATTGTCAATGCTCTTTGAACTGAACACTTATAATTTTTATATAATTCTTCAGCAGAGAGAAGAGGCCATTAGATTTGGTTACCTGAAGAACATTAGTGGCCATTGAAAATGAGTCGTTAGAATGGAGCAAGAAAAAGAGTACTTTAAGGGGTTGAGCAGGAAAGAAAGACACTAAACAGGTGGCACTTTACAGAAGTTTGGTTATAAAGGAAAGGAGAGAGAATAAGGGAGCAAGAGAGAAAAAGCAAAAAGAAGACCTTGTCTTAGGTCTGCTAGAGGCAGGAGACAGGGGAAATAAGGGAGCCCAGATTTCTCAGTAAAATAGGGACAATTTGGAGAGTAATACAGGGCCAAAGAAAGACAACCCCATGTTAAAAAAGTAAAAATGTGTGTGGCAGGTCCTGTGGAGAAAGAGATGGAGAGGTTTCTTCATTAACCATTGATATAATCATTATTTTAATAGACTCCATGTGGACTACTGTATCATGGGAGTTTAGAAAGGTATACTATGAGAAACAGAAAGAAGACCAAAAATAACCACCAAATAATAATAAAAGCAAGCGGGCCTCCCTGGTGGCACAGGGGGTTGAGCGCAGCGCTTTGAAGCTGTCTGCAGCCTCTGCAGCGCAGGTTCGATTCACACCCTACCAGGGAGATACCCACATGGCGTGGCAGACCTCTCCTGTCTCACCCACTGCTCAGCAGTGCTTTCAGTCCATCTGCCTGTTCTGCTCCCTTCTCTGTCTCTGGTGAATTCTCTCATCCTCCCGTGCCTCTGGCTTGTACTCCAGTTCTTGTACAAATAAATCTTTTAAGGTATAATAATAATAGGGCCTTGCCTGGTGGCGCAGGTGGTTGAGCGCAGTGCTTTGAAGCTGTCTGCAGCCTCTGCAGCACCGGTTCAATCCTGGCCGCCTGACGAGGGTCCCACATGGCGTGGCAGACCTCTCCTGCCGCCCGCTGCTCCCCTCAGCAGTGTATTTCAGTCAATCTGCCTGTTCTGTTCCCTACTCTGTCTCTGGTGAATCCTCTCACCCTCCCGCGCATCTGGCCTGTACCCCAATTCTTGTATAAATAAATAAATAAATCTCTTTAATAAAAAAAGAAATAATAATAATAATAAACGCAAGCATCCCTTGTGCATTTACTATGTCCCAGGCGCAATCTTAAATATCTTTTATGAATTATTTAACTATCAAAATAATCTTATAAAGTGGGCACTGATATTATGCTCATTTTGCAGATGAAGACAGTAAGGTAGATGAAAATGAAGAATGATTCCCAGGATCAGAAAATGAAACCCACTTGGGGAGGCAACCAATAAGCTTACATCTAGGGCATAGCCAGAATTAGCTGTAAAACAGCATGCACCTCTATATTTTGCAGACTTACTTTTTTTTTCAGTAAAAGCTTCCACTCACTTTTCTACAATAACACCTTAGATTTTTCTTGTTCCTTCCATATTGTGCTTTTGCTCCAAACAGAGCTAAGTTCACTAAGTTGTGAAATCATAATGTGTTTTAGTTGCAAGGATTTTAAAGTTCACCTACTGAAATTTCTCCCTTTGATGATGAAAAAATTAAGGTCCTGGGCAGTTAAATTGCTTGCCAGGGTCATAAAGCTAATTTCACAAAGATAGGACCTGAACCTAGTTGCTGGATGAGCCAAGGGGTCCTTTTTTTCATCTATCACCAATACACAAATCATTTGATAAGTTGAATACATGAAAATGCAAGCAACAACATTGTCATGTTCACTGCTACATATATTCCTCTTCTATAGAAATTAGATCAACTCAAATTTTATGTAGTTGCTCAACTTAAAACATTTCTTGCTATGTAAAAATGCTATTTGTGAATCAGGATAGATTGGCTAGAGATATAGAAAATTAAATCGAACTAAACTGTAGGTGCTGCAGAAAGCCCTTTGTTGAGGACTGTTCATAGTTTTGTATCCTCCTCTAAAAATCTGGATGTTCTTACTTTGTAATACATCTGTTTCTGTTCAGCAGGCAATAAAGTAAGTCTCCAAAGTAAATCCAAATAGGGTTCTCTCTCTCCATCTGTCAGAGGAAAAGCCCAAGAGGGTGTTTTGCTGCAAAAGGACAAGGCCTTCAGCTGGCTCCAGAAAGGCACAGTAACAGCACCCCATCTGTGCAGATGTGCAGGGTAAGTAAAAACAGTATTTTGTTGTTGTTGTTGTTAATGATAGTAAAATGTAGAGGGTTTTTTTTTTTTTTATGAAAATGACATCTTGGTTTTAAATCCTTAGCTTTTATATTACCTTTTCCATCAAGCTGAAAATGGTTTATAATACTCATATGAAATAAAGTTTAATATCCCCAATTCTGTACTGAGCAAGTTCCAAGAACTGTAGAGTTGGGAATTCAGTCACACAATCAGCATTAGAACTTTGTTTCAAACCTCCACTTTTACACTTAGACTACCAAATCATGCTGTTTCTCATTTCTCTGAAGTGTTTAAGGATCAGCTGTTTAAAATTAGTGGCTTGCCTGAGCCCTTCAGATGCCTCCTTGCTATGTATAAATCCCACACGGACTTGAGGCCTAACTGTTCAGATGACCAGGGTGGGGATTGAAGACAGAAGGTAGAGAGTAGCAGAACTGGTGGATGGGGGAACAAAGTCTCTCCAGAAACAAAATTACCTTTTGACTTCTTTAGGAATATCTGTAAGCTGATTGTTGTTCAGATTAAGCAGGGTCAAATTTTGTAAACCATCTGTTAGAAAAAAATTTAGTCACTTTAGCTATGTGTTAGAAATAAATTTTAGCCAATTTTCTATACACCTTTGTTTTCATGCCTTGGTCAAAGCTCTTTGAGTTGCTGGTAACAGATACCCTCTTAAACTATCTTGAGCAAAAAGGGGGAATTTATCAAAAGTAACAAAGCTAAGTCATGGCGCCTGAGGACAGACGGTCCAGCCAGGCTCACCACAAACTGCAACCAGAAACTAAGAGGCACAAGAACCCAGGAATGTGCTCCGTACTCTCAGGGAATCTCTGCAGCTCAGAATTTAGTTTCTCATTACAGATCCTCTCAGTTTCTAGTATATTCCTACCCCAACCCCCAACCCTCCTACACTCGAAACCCCCCACCCCACACACACATACACTTCCTATTCTTTCTTTTTTGAGCAGATTTTTTAAATTTTTCTATGTTTTTGTTACCAGCCCACAAATTCTGAGTTTGACTGTTCACAGATAGGACAGAGTTCTCAAACTGAAGTGCCTATAGGAACCAAGAAGATATTTCGAAGCATAACAGTGGACCTGGCAGGGAATGTGCTGGATTGGAGAGGTCATGCTTTCTCTAAAAGGGCAATAGTCATTCAATCAGCTCCTAGCATTAGCTGTCAGGTAGGAATATGATTCTAGTGTTGCCTAATATCTATATATGTAGGGTAAGGTAAAAGGTATCAGGGTTTTCTGCCCTCCCGCCATCAGGATAGATGACGGATCCTCGCGGTCCTGAATGCATGCCTGATGGCGGGCACCTGGAGTAGGGTGTGGGCATAGGTAGATGGGATTCACCTGAGCTGAGACTGTGCTTTTTAAGGGCGGCATCACGGGGACACCAGCGGAAGCCAAAAGAGAAGCCGAGAGAGAAGCAGAAGCAGAGATCACCGGAGAGCCCATGTAGAGTAAGGATTTGCTGGGGGATGGGAGGACCGCCAGCCTCCCGGCCCCCCAGCACCCCTGCCTGCCATATGCCTGGTGAACCCCAATAAAAAACCTGCAAAAACCACTGAGGACTCTGACTCCTCCTTCACCCGGTCTGCTGGGTCATAGAAAACCTGCATTAGTCCATTCCTGACCTTACTATATATATATATATTGACCTTACAATATATATATATTGTAAAACAAACAAACAATACCTTGCCACCTAATTCAAATTTTTTAAAGGCAGACCAGACAGAACCAATTTGTGAACCAGACTTGGTCCATGAACCATCAACATGCAACCTTTGCCTTTGTTCATGTGATGCGTTCAGATCAAGTAAACTATTTTAGACTCTATCATGTTACCCAAGAAAGAGAATATGACCGAGCCAGCTTGGTGTACATATCTAGCCCTGGTCAATCTGCTCTGGTCAAGAGGGATAGTGTCACATAATACATGCTGGACAGCATTCAGTTCCCCAAATTACTTCTGCCTTTGGATCTGACAGTATAATTTATGTGAATCACATGGGATTTTCAAATTTCAACAACCCAAAATGAAGAAATGCAGAAACTGCATTCAGGAGCACCATGCACAAATTACATCTTATAAACCTCAAATTTAAGGGCAAGTAAAAATTTTCTTCCCAGAACCCTAAATTAGCACAAATTAAATTGTTTAATATCTTTTTATATACTTCATGTTCTACCTAAACTTGTTCCCTCGGTATAATTCATGAAACAGTATTGTCTACTTGCTTGTATGACCTTGATTTTTTTTATGTGTAAACTTTTTTCTCCCTAAGTAAACTTCAACTGGACCCTGAAACCGTAGCTTTGTATATAGAAAGTGCATAGCATCAATAAATATTTGTTACAATTCTTATTGTGAGGAAAAATATTTCTCCATATTACGTGATTTTAAAGTACTTTCAAGAGATTGTACGAGAGTCTGTGCTATGTGCCAAATATATCCCTAATTTAGTGCCCCATGTAATAATGCCAATAATATATGCTGCTTGGAAGTGGCAGCAGTACTTATAAATAGCACCATGAGTCAAAGTTTACAGAAACTTATAAATTTTATAATATATCTTATTTTACTGCTGGGGACAGACCTGTGAAGTGTCCTACAACGAACTGATGAAGTTATAAATATCATCTGGATACAGAGAACAGATTGGTAGTTATCAGAGGAGAAAGGAGTTGTAAGGTAAAGTGGATAAAAGGGATCATAGGCTGGTGGTAGATGGAAACTAAACTTTTACTGATAACCATGATGAAGTATATATAGATGTTGACTTATAATGCCATACTCCTGAAATTTACATAATGTTATAAACCAATTACTTCATTAAAAAAATTGTAAGTCATCTGAATCTCTTCATCATCTGCTCTGTCCCTTTAGCCCACTCTATCTAAACTGATTAGGAAGAATAGGGAAATTATTAGATTAAAGGAAATATGAGAAAAAATGTCACAGTGTATTTCATATCTTTCTTTAAAATTTTCCCTAAATTAATTTAAACTTAGCATCTTCATCAAAGATCATGACTTAGTATTGCAGAAAGAATAAAAAGTGTAAAGAACAAGGACAGCTATGAGGAGATTTCTTTATTTAACTGTCAACTAGGACAGACTGGCACAGAGCAAGAACCTCTAGATTTGAGAATCAAAATATACACTGATTCTGAAAAGGGGAAAACTCACTGACACTGATGCCTACTTATTTTCTCAGATCTTCATGTAATGAAAAATATAAAATAGTCCCAAAAAAAGTGTTATCCTCAAAATTCTTTAATTACAACAGTAGAGTATAAATATCAAACCAACAAAAAAAAAGATGAAGGCATAGAAATTCCTTTCCACTGAAGTCCCAAATTGTTAAGTATAGTGGATTGAAAGTGATACTGTAATGCTGCTCTTTGAATGACTTACCACATGCTTCAGCCTCAAAACTATGAATCTTATTTCCAAATAAATGGAGCTTCTTCAGGGATATAAGGTATTTCATTTCTTTTGGAACTTCCTTTAAAAGGTTGTTTCCCAGATTTAGTGTTGTCAACTGCAAATGCATAGAGGTTTAATAGACTCATATGTTATTGATCTTCAAATAAGTATAAGAAATAATTTAAACTCCTTTGCTGAGATCTGTGCAATCTAGAAAAACTTGGACATAATCTCAAACAAATATTTCACATAAAATAAAATTCACTTGAGTTTCATGTTCAAATAATTTGTTAGTTAAAGCACAACTTAATTTTCAATTAAAGCACTTTAACTTCAGTGTGTTACAAACCATTCCAAGGGTATTTAAAAACTCAATTACTGATCCACTTTAACTCACTTGACCAAATCAAGACTATCCTAACATTGTGACTTGTAGACTAAAAACCATTAAAAGGGGCCTCTCTTGTGGCCCAAGGGGTTAAGTTGCAGCACTGTGAAGCTATTTGCAGCCACTGCAGCTCTAGCTGGATCCCAGAGAGCCAGCCAGAGAGCTGAACCACATGGCACAGCAGAACTCTCCTGTCTTGCCTGCTGCTCTCCTCTGCGGTGTATTTCAGTCAATCTAGCTGTTTTGCTCCCAACTCTGTCTCTGGTGAATCCTCCCAACCCCCCCACCCCCTACCCACTGCACCTCTGGTCTGTCTTGTATGCATAAATAAATAAATCTTTAAAAATAAATAATTAAAAACCATTAATTTTCTGACATCAGAAATACAGTCAAAGATCTGAGGCCTTCCTTTATTATTACTCCCAAGGAAATGTCTCTCATTTAGGTCAATAAGACAGTTCTATTACATGAATACAACTATTTGTGAGGGCGGTGGGGGGTAAGCAGTTTACAAGAGAAACTAATGACATGATGTGGAAGGGAACAGAAGACCTTCCCACATGAACCTGCCCTAATAATGATGGATTAATCAGTCAGAGGAAGAATTGCAAGTAAGAGGAGTAAGATCCCCGAGCATCTAATCCAATGAATCAATAATATAGGATTGTTCCCTAATATTTTGTCTTTTTGTTTGATTTGAAAATCTAACTGTATCTCCTAATATATGAAACATTTACTTAAAAAAAGAACTACAGGTCCTCCCCAGTGGTGCAGCTGGTTGAGCGCAGCGCTGTGAAGCTGTCCGCGGCCTCTGCAGCACCAGTTCAATTCCCGGCCGGCCAGAGGGAGACACCCACATGGGATAGCAGACCTCTCCTGTCTCGCCCGCTGCTCCCCTCAGCAGTGCATTTCGTCAGTCTGCCTGTTCTGTTTCCTGCTCTGTCTCTGGTGAATCCTCTCATCCTCCCGCACCTCTGGCCTGTACCCCAGTTCTTGTATAAAAATAAATAAATCTTTAAAAAAAAAAAAAAGGAACTAGAGTTAGGAAATTAGGAAATTAAAGAATTTATTATTTATATTTAAATATCACCTGGTATTTGGTGTGGATGTATGTCAATGATTTAAATTAATATTAGGAGGGTATAGATATATTTACAATAAAATTCCATGTCCTCAGAATCATGGAAAAGGTTTTCTGAACATATATATATATCTTTCTCTGAGAAGTACCACTATCCAAAAACAAAGGACAGTATTTCTACTCTTTGGAAGGCCTTATCAATTTTGTAGAAGCTAAAATAAAATATTTTGGCCATTCTAATGAAAAGACAACCGAGAGTCTGTGACTGCATTAGTTTCCTATTGCTCCTATAACAAATTACCACAGATTTATTATCTTACAGAAATTGGTCTCACTAACCTAAAAACAAAGGTTGATAGGACTGTGTTCTTTTCTGAAGACTAGAAAAATCCGTTTTCTTGCCTCTTTTAGCTTCCAGCGGCTGCCCACATTCCTTGGTGTCTGATTCTCCTTTCATATTGAAAGCCAACAATAGCGAGCTGAGTCTCTTTCAAATCACATCATTTTGACACTCTCTTTACCTTTAAAGATCCTCATATAACTACTTCGATTCACCGAGGTAATTCAAGAAAGTCAATACAATGACAAAGTCATCTGATTTCCAACCTTAATTCTACCTGTATCCTTAATTTTTTTCCTTCACATTTAGTCCAACACGTTTATAGGTTGTGGGAATTAAGATGTGGGATTTTTTTTTCCAGTAGGAAAGGGCAATTTATTTAATAAAAAGAGGCTGGCACAAGTGGCTACCCATCTAGAATAGAATTATTTTTAACTCTAATACTCCACTTTTTTTTTTTAAGATTTATTTATTTATACAAGAACTGGGGTACAGGCCAGATGCGTGGGAGGGTGAGAGGACTCACCAGAAACAGAGTGGGGAACAGAACAGGCAGACTGACGAAATACACTGTTGAGGGGAGCAGTGGGTGAGACAGGAGAGATCTGCAGCGCCATGCGGGACCCTCGCCCTCCAGCTGGGATTGATCTGGCCGCTGCAGAGGCTGCGGACAGCTTCACAGAATGGCGCTCAACTGCCCACGCCACCAGGGGAGGCCCAAACACTCCACTTTTTTAAAAGTAAATCTGAGTCATAAAAAATATAAATTTGAAAAATAAAACAAGAAAAATTACAAGAACTAATTTTAGGCAATATATGCCTAACCTAATGATTTTGGAAATCTTTTTTTTTTTTTTTTTTTTTTTTTTTGAGGTAACACTGGTTTACAACACTATGTGATTCAAAGGCAAAGAATCACGCCTTTCAGATACATGTTTATACCACACCCTCCACCAAGGCACGCTCAGCCCTCCACCACAACCTCCATCGTGTTGCCTCCCTTCTTTATTTATCCTTCTCCTCCTCCCCATCTCGTTGTCTCAATTCCACAGTCAGATTTGTAATTTGTTATTGATTTTTGTCTGACACTTTGGTTTGTTTCTCTATATTAGGATGTGGGCATCTTTGAGAGACCACTATTTGCCTACCACAGTGACTATTTGAAATCCCTTTTCCAAAAAGGAGGTAATTTTATTCTTTCATTTACTATTAGTGAAAAATTCACAGTAGCCAAGTTGAGAGCTCAACAAAATCTCTGTGAGTACTGGTGAGGAATATAAGAGTATTCGAAACTGTAAAAGATATGAAATTTTACCCAACTTGTCAGCTAACAGTTCATTGTCACAATTTCATAGATAATGGTAACATGAGACCCCTGGGGAAGAGAAAAAGGATGGTTTATTATTTACAGAAATAGCAGTGCTCAGAATACTGCTATTTTTATACCAAGAATGCAAAAAAGAGACAGATGATAACCTGGATGTGCAGTGGGTGTGTTCCAGAAGAGCCATCATCCTACAGAAACTGAATCATTTATCTTGGCAGTAACCACCCTTGCTATGGAAGCACACACTATGTCGCTAAATATATATAAATATATATCTTTTATATAAGCATCCTTGAGAAGTCAGTCCAGAACAAAGACAGGCAGTGCTCCTGCTCATGAGATTGCAACGGCATGAGAGACTCATGGAGAATTACCTCCAACAAAGAGAAGGTAGCATATATTTTTAAAGTAAACAGATAACAAGGAATAGAGCTGGTAATTTCCTGCACCATAGATGCTTTCCAGGTATTTTTGAGGACACAGATATGCTCATTTTATATGTTATGCCATCAATGCTCATCTATGAGTTATATTTTTGACATTGTGATTTACAGAATATAAAAAATATGACCCCAATACATGAAAACTGATTTCATTGCATAGCAAAGGGAAATCACAGCATTTAATCAACTTTGACTATAACATGAAATTTGGCAGGGAGATGCTTGGGATTATATCCACATGCAAACCATGAAAAAAAAAGTCTAAATTGTCCATATAACTATCTCTAAGGAAGGAGGTGGGTCAATATTCATTTAAAAATCAGCTTTAAATACTTATTTTGAGCTGCCATTTCCAGGTGCTGAATAAACAAAAGTGAGTATGACCATAAGATCTTTACCTTTAAGGCAAATAGCAAGAAACAAAGCATCAAATGAACAAATGAATGAATGAACAAATAAGAATAAAGCATACAATATTAAATACTCTGTAGAAAATTTAAAAAATGAGGAGATGGTGATCAGTTGATGAAGGAAACTTGTCTTAGAAGTTGATATTTAAACTGAGATCTGAGCAACAATAAGAAAAACATGGCCAAAATATGGTTGAGGAGCTGAGAGATGTGGCTGATAGAGCTAAGAATAGTGTGTAGAAGAAGCCAAGCAAAAAGAAAATAAATAAAATGAGACTGTGATGGCATTTTTAGGCCCATTATACATGGTTTAGACCACAGTAAGGGATCAGGATCTCACTCTAAGTAAATGAGAGATGACTGCAGGGTTGTGAGCAGAGATTTAGTGTTACTTCATTTGTATTTTAACAGAACAGCTATACAAAGAATAGCCTTTGGGTAGAGCAAGAAGTACACTACAGGATCTCCCCTGATGTCATAGTCGGTTGAGTGCCCCACTGTGAAGCTGTCCGCAGTCTCTGCAGTGCTGGTTCAATCCCCGGCCCCCGGCGAGGGTCCCATATGGCGTGGCAGACCTCTCCTGTCTCACCCGCTGCTCCCCTCAGCAGTGTATTTCATCAGTCTGCCTATTCTGTTCCCCGTGCTGTCTCTGGTGAGTCCTCTCACCCTCCCGTGCATCTGGCCTGTATCCCAGTTCTTGTATAAATAAATAAATCTTAAAAAAAAAATTAAAAAATAAAAAGAAGTATGCCACGTCAATAGCATGGAAACATGGCCACATGGTCCAGGTGAGAGATGATGATGGCTTGGGCTAGAATGGCAGTTGTAGAGGTGGAAAGAAGTCGATGGGATTGAGATATGCTTTGGATGTACAGCCAGTGGTTGTGATTTGTAAGAAAAAGAGAAGACTCAAGGATAGAAACAATTTTTGGAGCTTGTATACCTGAAATGAAGAAAACTGGAACCAGCGCACAGTTTCGAGAAAAGAAAAGAATTAAGAGTTGTTTTATATATATATTAAATTCAGATGCATCTTAGATGAATAAGTAGGCAGGAAAGTAGGAATAAGTAGGAAATTTCAAGTAGGCAGTTGCAAATACAGATCTAGAGTTTTCTGACGTCAAGA